CAAGAAAAACCATTTTTGCATTCGAAAACCATTTAAAATACCTATTTATCCATTTTACATTTAAAATGGATTCGAAAAACCTATTTTGCATTTTAAATACATTTTTTAAAAGTATTTTACAATTAGTATTTTAAATGGAATTCGAAAGGCATTTTACCCAGTCCTGCTCTCCAGCATCCCCCCCCTTTAAGAAATCTGACGATATTTCATAAGTAACATCACCGACGAGATACTATTAAAGACCGTCAACCCTGAGCAAATTTTCGGCGATATAAAAAGGGCCCGGAGGTAATCGAAGAACGCTGACATTATCGACAATTGATATAAATTTGCTATTATTAACATAAATATTTGACTAATACATTATTAAATTCATGATATTTTATTACATAAATGCTCTATAAATAAATATGCATATTTGTAAAGCTATAATATCCTATATATTGCCGAAAAATTACAATTTTTTTCTTTGCAGTTATTATCTCTGTTGATAATCGAACTTTGACGATAACACTGAAATCACAATTTTAAAGAAAAATCGAATATTATTGAATTTGAAATGCACGTACACCGATAAACACGTCTACTAAACTAATAAATCATAAAATTAGTACAATATTATTAGTTTTTTTACTCTTAATCGCTTCAATATTAACAAGGACGCGAACTCCCATAAGGATGTCGGTCTTTAATAATATCTTGTCGGTGATAACATGAAGGGTTCGTCGAGTGGCTTGCTGCTCGGTGCGATGGACTCGTGATCTGTAGATCCGTGTTCGATTCCACTTGCGCCCATATACGCGATTTTTCGCGTTTAGGAAACCGAAAATGGCTCCATCTGTTGATTAAGAGAAGTTAAAAAAAAAGTCAATAAATAAAACAAGGGCAAACGAGCCAACTACAATATAAGATCTTTAATAAACGTATATATATACAATAATCAAACGTTTCGACACCGATCGGGTCATTTTCAATGTACAATAACAAAACATCTTACATACATAATCAGAAATTTAGTTAAAATATATTGTCCAGTGAGAATTTGGTTATATTCATAAAAAGCAGTCCATATTTAAAACTATTGAAGAGATCAAAACTCATTCTACCATCTCATATTGTCTCAATGATGTAATGTGGACAACGATAGGAACACTCAGTTAACAAAAATATATTTAAAAAAAGTTATGTATAATAAAAATTATTAAGCCATGATGCGCATGAATATAACGTTTTGACTCAATCGACGTCAAGCGACGTTATGACAAAAAGAAAACAAGGAAATAGGAAAGATAATAAAGAAGGAGACAAGGACATTGTTAGGAGGGGGAAAGAGATTGGATAATATTTAGGTATGATTCTGGCAAGGATTCTGTGTCATTTTGTTTATTTAGCCCATGCGTTTGTCGTTTTATGTGAACCATCTCCGATATCAATCTCTTATTAAACAGCTTCTCTGTCTAATATTTCCACATTATTCCAGTCGAAATTATGATTCTGGTCAATGCGATGACAAGTGATGACTGTTGGGGATTTTGACTTCTTATTGATATCGGAGACATGTTCGTGCAATCTTGTCTTTAATTGTCTTTTGGTCTGACCCACGTAACTGGTTTCACAATCATAAAAAAAAAGGCTTAAGGCCGTTGCGAATTGTACGAGGTCTATGAGATCTCCAACTGAGGGCCAGTTTCACAACTCACGATTAACTCTTAACCGAGGTTCAATTTGTTTCTCATCTCTTTTCAATTCTAAAATTAGAAAGAGACAATGAATAAGTTAAATCTCGGTTAAGAGTTAACCATGAATTGTAGAACTGGGCCTAAAGCATCGTTTATAATAGGCCGTAACCGTTAACTTAGGCCGGTGTCGTAAAAGTTGGAAGATAGGAAACCCGTATTACCATTTATTAATATAATAGCCGGCAAAAATCTGTTGATTTTGACTGTAACCGAAAAGTTGACTCAACTTTATCTTTACCGGCCACGGAAAAATACGGAAAAAGTACAAAAGAATGGAAAAGTGCAAAATACCAAGGGATTCAAGTGCAAAAGAACTTTTCTTTTAACCTGTTGAAAAATCCTATTTGAAATAGTTTTAAAATCTTTTATAATTTAAATCTAAAAAGTTTAAGAAGAGAAATGAGAATAAACGATGCCGATTTAATTTTATGGGTCGAACAATTTCGGCACTTATACGTATTGTATATGAAGATTAAAGTCGGTTTTAATTTTTCAATAATAAATAATTAATCAATATATTTTATCAATATCACTCTGGTCTGGATCCTCTTGAAATATGCACCCACTGCCAAAGAACTGCCCCTTCGTGCGAAAGATAATGTGCCATATTATCACGTAAAGCAATCATAGATCTTGATGGGTTATTCGTACCCATGCGTCCTATCCTTTGAAAACTATTATCAATGTGTTGATCTCGAAACAATCCTCATGTAATGTGACCATTATCTCCAATAGTGTCGGCAAAATTTGGAGGCCAATATTCTTGCTGTTGGGCCTTTTTTTCGGAAATACGCAAAAAAAATTATGTAGACATATTACGGCAGCAGTAATCATTTGTATATTATGAATGTCACCAATGATATTATTTCGCAAAATTCTCCACCTCGATAAATACCAAATGAATTTTCTATTATCCTCCTTGCTCTTGATAGGCGATAATTGAAGATTTTTTTTTTTTTTTCATCTAAATTTCTTCCCGGATAAGGTCTTAGAATGTATGGTTTTAGAGGAAAAGCCTCATCTCCAACAAAGTAGTATGGAAAATTTATATCTGTATTCGGTAATGGTGTGCTTGCTGGTAATTTTATCCTACCGGATTCCAATCCTTGTCCAAAGGCTGACTCCGAAAATACTGCACCATCACTTTGTGAGCCATATGCTCCGATGTCTACAAGTGTAAACACGTAATCGGCATCACAAATAGCCATCAGAACGATGCTGAATGTTTTCTTATAATTAAAGAAGGCAGATCCTGATTTATTTGGTGCTTGAATGGTAATATGTTTACCATCGATTGCACCACAACAGTTTGGGAGATTCCATTTCCTGTAAAATTCGTTCGCCTTTTCTTTCCATTCTTCGACTGTTGGCTGTTTACAATATACGGGACTAAGAACATCCCATATGATATTGCAAGTTTCCTTGACTATAATAGATACAGTAGTTTTTCTGATTAAAAAGGACCATGCAACTACCTGCATACTGCAGCCTTGAGATAAATAGCTGCAATAATATAAGTTCTACATTATTATTTACATTAAAATTAATATATATAGTTATATATAAGACATGATAAAAATTAAAAGATTTTACTTACAATAATGTAATAAACAGCCTATGCTCTGGACTTATAGACTCACGTATGCTGTGTTTTTTTAATTTGTCTTGTATAAGTCCTAATAATATGTAGAAATTGGTCTGTGACATCCTTGTATACTTTATAAATTATTCATTATCCACTGTAGCCATGTCTTTAAATAAATTATGAAAATGTCCTTTATCTTTTCTTTTTTTATTTATTGGTGTATTATCACGTACACTCCAACGGCGTTTGTTCCTGATTTTTTTATTTAACGGTGCGTCTGCATATTCAGTATATGCTAGCCCCAGAATTGATAAGAACATTCCATACATTGCTATTTCGGACAAATCCATACTTTTTATTAAATTTAAAATTTATTTATATGACTAATGATCTTTAAAGTTATGTGATTATATCGTGGCCGTAACATCGGTACTGGCTATTATAAACCGCTCCTTTACAGATTACGGTAACGGCCTCTACGGTTACGGCCCCTTATAAACGACGCTTAAAGCCCGTATCAGACTACCGGCTACGTTTACACCGTGCGCTTAATCCGCGACTTATACGATAAGTGTCTTTGTTTAACCTACAAAATAAACAAGGATATCTATTGTATAAGCCGCGGCCTAAATGCACGGTGTAAATGTAGCCACCGATTCTGCAAGCCGACCTGACTGCCAACTCTGGCTATTGACCAATAATGGACCAATCACATTGAATCAGTCTTATTGTGATTGGTCCATTATTGATCGGCAGTCAGAGTTGGTAGTCGGGTCGGCCTGCAGAGTCAGTAGTCTGATACGGGCTTAAAGCATACATTCTTATCTCTACTGTAAGGCCGGAATCAGACTACGCATTGAAGATTGAGGTTGAAGATTAAAGATTGAAATTTTACCAATAAGGACAAAGAAATTTTAGCTCCTTTTGTTTCGGTTGGTCAAATTTGAATTTTTCAATCTTCAATCTCAATCTTCAATGCATAATCTGATTCCGTCCTAAAACCTGTGTAAATTACTGAAATAAATTCAACAAAATTATATAGAAATTCTGAAAAATTATGTAGAAATTCTGAAAAATTATATAGAAATTTTGAAAAATTACATAGAAATTTTGAAAAATTATATAGAAATTCTGAAAAATTATATGAAAAATTTTGAGAAAAATTTTATTATCAGGATTATCATCCGTTGATATTGACGCGGACTGCTAAGGTTACAATTAAATGGATAAAAATAATTTTATACGTAATATCACAACAAAATATCAAAATAATTATAAAACGTGAAATCCGTATATTATAATTATATAAAATTTTCGATAAAGTGACGTAAATTGTTGTTATCAAAATTATGTACATTCGGTAATAGAGTTTTTTAATTATCTTTGGAACCACCATGGTCTTCTCAAATTAAATGATAAATATATGTAAATCGTCTTGTCATTGAATATTCTAAATTTATATAATCTATTTTTGTAAAACAAAAGTTGAAAATAATTAAAGAAATTGTAAAACGTAAAATGTAGATCAACGACGATTACAATTTGTATTATTGTTGATGACACTGTAAACAGAATACGATATATATAATAATAATGTTTCGCGATTATTCGGTAAACTACTGATAACGACAGACATACGTATTTTTTCTTTTTATCATTTAATTGACGTACTCGGTTCGACGTCGAGCGAGTGAAACGAGTGTAATGAACGCGGCCAAGTCAGGCCAAGTCCTCGACCGAGCAATCGCGATTCATCAACAGGCCGACCCGAGCGACCCGAAGTGTTGGTCGCGGTTAAACGGATTAATCAGGATTAATTCATTTGTGCCACCCGCCGCGGCAAAGCGAAGCCCGCGAGCAATCAAGTATATTCATTGAATTAGCTCGGGAGCAGGAAAAACACGCTGTTGCATCGCGTTAATTGCAGTCACGAAACACAACGCTTTTTTACAGGCAGAACTGCAAGGTATAATACCAAACAAAACAATAACACTTGCATGGATAGATATTTAACTGCAGCAATAGATTGAAAAAAGGTAATCTATTACATTCTCGATTAGATGTATAAATATTTTGTAAAAAATTATGCATGACATATAATTATGTTGAATGCAGATGCAGTGGCTAGCCTTAGTAATTTGCCTTTACGCTGGAGTAGCCAGTGCACGTACAGAGGAGGATCAGCAGACGTCGAGTGCAAGTGGAGTCTCAAATTCTCTTCCAGAACAGTGTTTTTACAGATACCCGATAGACTGTCCGACCTCGGATTCAAAATGTCTCTGTAAGAGGATCACTCTTGCAAATGTACCTGAGGGCAATGCTGCGCTTTGCTGTAATACAGATCAACAAAGCCTAGAAGATGGTCTCTCTTGCATAGGTGAGAATTGTAATGCAAGAACTTTTAATTTATCCAATAGTACATATACTCAAGTATTTTCACTACTGTGTCTTAGGATTTCAACATTCAAACATAAGTTATGTTCACATACGTAACGCGACGTTGGATGTATTTAATGTAACTGAAGTTCGTTGGAGGATGCTGAAATCTCTGGCCATAACCGATGGCAAGATTAATCGACTGCTGGGGCAGTTTCTCATGATGACGCCTATACAATGTTTGAATCTCTCGAATAATGAGTTACGCGAGGTAGAGAATAATTCGCTGACGCGTTTGGCGCAACTCACTACGTTGGATCTGTCTTATAATAAACTCACTTACCTTCCAGCTTTAAATACGATGAATGGCCGAGAATTCTGGTTAGACATCTCTGGTAAACAAGCTCTGCTGTTCAATACTGTTATCTTAATTAAACATATACTTATTAACGTATCACTCTTTTTCTATAGGAACAAATAAACTTTCATGTCACGATGTATATCATTATATCAATAAAACTGGCGAAAAGCAAATCACATTTAATCGCGAGAACGAGACAGTGTGTTCCTCCATGGCAACGTGGCATTGGTTTAACACCACTGAACAAGTTCCTCTTTCGCAGGTTCTTTATCTCAGTTTGGTATGTTTTAATAAATATAACATCTCGTGTGAAATTTTATATACAAGATGCAATTAGAATTAATCTTGACTTTTAGTTGCAAACAGAATGTCCGAAAGGTGATGCCTGGCAATGTCATTGTGATATTAGAAGACTAGACATTATCGAAGGTAAACCACCTACACACGCTGTAAGTGTAGATTGCAGTGGAATGCAGTTGATGGAGCTACCCGAAAAATTGCCGCAAAACACTATAGCCCTGAATATTTCCTATAATAATGTACGCGCGACTGTTAGATAAGGTTTTATGTTATTTATCGCGTATGAACTTTATAATGCAAATTTTCTCTGAATTTTTCTTTTAGATTACAGTTCTAGATGATCTCAGTACTAATCCATGTTACGAGGATCTACGAGAGTTTTATGCGGATTATAATAATATCTCCTCGATAAATAAATTGGAAGGTTCCAAATTTCTGGATAATTATGCTATCTTGAGTTTACGGTACAATAAAATTAAAGTAGTAAGTAAAGAAATATACTTAATTCTTCGATGATATCCAATGCATTAACATATCTTACATATAATATGTTTAGCTGCCAACATACATATTAAGTCCAAGCGCACATCATAAAAACTTTTTGAGTTCGAGAAATTTGGTCAGATTAGGAGGCAACAAGTTGCATTGTGATTGTAATACTGCTAAACATTTAAAGGTACAATATAACGTTAGTTTATAAAAAAAAAAACAGATAAGTATAAGATATAATATTAAAGGAAACTTTTTTTACTTTTCGTTTTAGGCATGGTTACAAACGCGGATATTGGACTCCGATGAAGTAATGTGCGAAAATGTAAAGGAAAAAGTTGTAGATTTAGAGCCATCGAAGATGTGTGTGTATCCGGGAGATTGGACGGACTATATATATTATATTATCGCTACCGAGGTGATACTTTTAATAGGCTTGATTGCCAAAGTGTCTTATGACTATTGGGTGTTCAAAACGGCAGGATATCTTCCATGGCCAGCGAATAAAATGCCAAAATTGCCATGCGATTGGTTGTTTGAAACATAGACTGTATAAGTAGGTATAATGAGAATTCCTAACGTGCAATGAAACTGTACAATAAAAATATACAGTTAGGATACATTAAAAGTGCCTTGTAATGCGTCTGGACATTTCAAATGTCCAGCACTTAGACAATATTTTCTAGCTCTTCTAGAACTTTAAAGTAATCTCTGTACATATCTTCTGTACATTTGTCCATGACGAATATTTTATAAAATTCATATTATTGTTTAAAGTATTATACGATTGTTAATAGGAATGTGTTATACATAATTTTATAAACAATTATAGATTTATATATAAATTTTATATGTAAGTATTGATACAATAAATTATTTACAAATAATTTCGAAGTCTTTTATATGCAGATCTTTTTAAAAAATATTTTACTTTTTATAAAATTTCTTTCAAAAAAGATCCTATTACACTTATTTCACATTTTAAAAATGAATATCATATTTACACTTACATTTCCTTCTCTGACTCTGACTTCTTTTCGACGCATGACTTCCGTTTACGTCGTTTATACGTAGGTACGGTTAATATTTTTCCACGAGTGGGTGCCGTACGCTCGAGCTTACGTCGTTCTTTCTTACTGTGCTTCTTCATGGCTAACATGTAATCCGGTACGTCACATCCAGAGGCTCGTAAAACCGCCGCAATACTAAGAAACGAGAGAATGTTTTATATTATTTATTGAAACATATATACGTATATGAAAGAAAAATCAATATGCACCTCCGTAAATTCACCGTATCCTGTTGAGTGAAAAACGTTATTGCCTTTCCCTTGTGACCGGCACGACCGGTACGACCTGTTTCGGAAAACGTAAGATGTTTAAGTAAGAAATAGCTTAACAGATCAGTGTCACCCTGTTTCTTTGAACGTACTCTTGGAATATATGAAAATATTATAGTATAAATATAATGGCGAGATAATATCTTAATGGATGGTAATGTCCATTCTTTACATCATCATGTTATATATATCTCCATTCTATACGAGAGCATGATCTTTTTCTATTGTTAGCAACAACATACAATAGTTATTACACAATACCGAAAGAGAAGAAAGGCTACTATTTCTAGCTGAGCGTATTTTAACAATAAGAAAGAAGGAAAAGAAGAATGGCTAGAAACAGTTGTCAAAGGAATAGAACAGTTCTATTTTGAGGGTTTACTGATAAGATCAATACATACCTATTCTGTGAATGTAAGAGATGGCGGACGGGGGAAAATCATAATTTATAACGAGATTTACGCCTTTAAAATCTATACCTCTGCCCATTAATTCTGTGCAGATCAAAACCCAAATCTTTCCCTCTCTAAAGCAACGCACAGTATTGTCTCGCTAGAAGAATATAATGATTAATGTACAATTAGATAGGTTGCGCGAGATATTTTTTTTCACCATACCTGTGTCATTGTTCTGTCAGCGTGAATAACATCCACATTAATTCCGTCGTATAGAAGCTCATTAAAAAGTTCTTGAGCCCTCTCTTTACTTTGTACAAATACTAAGACCGGTGGTGATATACCCTTTATTAATAATTAGAAACGTGTTTACAATCGCAATATTAAAAAAAAAATAATAAAATATTCCAAATAAATTATCCTACCTTTTGAATAATGTTTCTGAATTCCACTAATTTACCTCTTTCACTACCAACAAAAAGGAGGTTTTGATCTACTAAATCTGCAGCTGCATTTCTATAATAAAAAGGAAACATAATTAATTAATAATTTTCATAGTTATTATAAAATTTATCAAGACACAACAAACACATACCTTTGTCCAACTGTTACTGTTATAAGACCTTTCATGTTACGACGGCACCATTTTGACACGGCTGGAGTATTTGTCGCACTGAACATACCGCGACGTAAATTTGTACTAATGCAAGCCTTTGTAATCTCTTCTAATTGTTCTCTAAAACCACGTATTCCTTCCTCGAAAAGTTTATCGGCTTCGTCCACAATCAACCATTCAACACTATAAAAACAGAATAAGAATATTATCGTGCTTAAGTGTGATTTTAATTGATATATACTATAATTGTGAAAAACATACTTATTTAATGAAATGGCTGGAGGATCTTGATTTAAGAGAAACACTAATCGCTTTGGTGTAGTAATTAAAATATCTGGAACAGAAATAAGTTTTAATAAGATCATTTCTATATTAAAATTTTCACACTAACTCACCAAACTTTTGCGAGCTTGAAGGTCCATATTTGATAAGAGCCTGATTCACTTTACTAATTATGTGAATTCTAAAGTCACAGCCGTCACTCAATTTCAAGCATTCTCTACAAGTCTGTTTGGCTAACTCTCTTGTAGGATTTAGAATAACAGCGCGAAAGCCTTTCTTTTGTGGTCCTCGTAAACTATGAATGATTGGTAACAAAAATGCTGCAGTTTTCCCTGATCCTGTCGGAGCACAAGCCAGTATCTGTCTGCCCTGTCATTGAAAAAAAAATTTGTTAAAACAATACTTGTTAAAAATATTTTAATAATAAAAATAAAAATATTTTAATAATTTTTACACAGCTTTTATCATAGAAATTTACTTACCTCTAACATAATTGGCATTGCCTGCATCTGTATTGGTGTTGGATACAAGTATCCACTGTTTTTCATATTATTTAACAAATTTTCTGATACTTGGTAGTTTGTTTTTAATTCATTAAATTCTAATATTAATTTAGATATGTGACTACCTGTTACTGAAATACGATTCATGTTTCTCAGATGGTTTATCTGAAAAATTAAAGATATTTTACATATATATGTTAAAAAATATTTTTTTTACATTTACATTAGGGTTGTTACTTCGAAGATTCGAAAGAATTGGAATTTCTAAAATTAACTCCAAATCTTCGAAGTTTAAAGTGTTTGGAAACTTCGAAGCACTGAAAATTTGAATTCTCTCGTTATGAAAAGTAACAACCGTAATTTGTAGTTTCACTACAGAAATACTAAACCTTCTCTTGTTCCAATTTTAACATCTTATCAGCAGTTGCGACTTTTTTACGTTTCTTAACCGGAACACTTCCATCTTTCGGTACCGATAGTCCATCTAGCAATGTTATTTCATCAACATCTTCGTTCTCATCTTTATATTTTCTTTTTGCTTTGCTTTCTGTAGGCTCTAATACTTCGTCTTTTATTTTCTCAACTGTATTATTTATGTCATTTTTACTTGGTCTCACCATCTAACAAAATATTAAATAAACGTGATATTAAATAAACAAGCACGTGAAAAACATATCCTTCAAGGATCGAATAATTGATTACCTGAAATCTTTCTGCATCTTTTCGAAAGCGTTTTGTATCAAATTTAACACCGACTGCAAGCTTTTTGAAAAGATCGTGAGCATCCATAATGTTAATATACAGAAATTATTTGCAAAATTAAGTCACGTGGACCACGTGTAAACTCGCGTACTTGCGGAACAATCAAGAACAATAAGCAAGGTTGGTATGTATTCAAATATTAGCATCAAACTTCAGAGGTATTTGAGGTTAGAAAATATGTAGGTAAGGAAGGAAATGCGAAAAAGGGACATCTTCTGAAATTGATAAAAAATAACATAGCTAAAACGATCGATAAAAAGATAAGTCGATAATGAAGAAAGAAAGATGGCGAAAGAATTTATATATTTTTGAAGGTTGATTTTTTATTGAGAGCGGGAGCATGTTATTAATTCTGCAATTTTTAAGATTTTTTTTTCTAATGAATCCTGGTACTAAACATATTTGATTTATTTTTTTGTAAAAAATTGTTCTTTTTTTCAATTGTATTTTGTATACATTATACTTAAAGGTGATAATATAAAAGACGTCTTTCATACAAGGTCCCATGGTGTAATGGTTAGCACTCTGGACTTTGAATCCAGCGATCCGAGTTCAAATCTCGGTGGGACCTGATTGAAATTTTATTTTTTGTAATAATTTTCTAATAATTAATATTTTTTTTATTTTTCGCTTATAAAGAGAAACATACCGGTACTGCAATGTGTAATTCGTATGTATAGTAAGTTCTGTTAAAACATCCAGATGCAGTTTCATAATTCCATGTTTATTTCTGTCCCTGACCTAACCTAACTTGTATCTCCTTTTTATTTGCGTGATGCGAATAGTTGCTGCTAATACAAAGGCAATATAATATTTATGTAAACCACGTGTTAAAACATTTTTGAGGATTCAATTAATAGCGAGTTGGAAGAGATGGCTGAGCAGAGCGATTCCGTGGTAGTCATCAAGGCGAAGCCTGTTCGCAAAGTTTTCAAAGCTCCCACGAGAGTCAGTAAAATTCCCGAGGAACTCTTGAACGATCCTTTACTGAATTCTGCCATAACGGCTTTACCTACGAATTATAATTTTGAGATACACAAGACGATATGGAGAATCAGAGAAGCCAAGGCAAAGCGAGTAGTTCTCCAAATGCCAGAGGGCCTTTTGATGTATGCTACAACAATAGCTGACATCATTGAAGACTTTACTGAAGCAGAAACTGTTATTATGGCCGACGTCACTTACGGTATAATTGGATGAGTAAATCCAATGCTTTCAGTATTTTATAATATTATTTTATTGTAGGAGCCTGCTGTGTAGATGATTATACGACACGAGCATTGGATGCAGACTTTCTGGTCCATTATGGACACTCGTGTCTTATACCAGTAGATCAGACTGCTGGTATCAAAGTACTTTATGTGTTTGTTAATATAAAAATTGATATTTCGCATTGTGTGGACTGCTTGAAAGTAACTCTACCAATTACCACAAAGATAGCACTAGTTAGTACAATACAGTTTGCTACAACAGTACAAGCGGTAGCAGCGGAATTGAGAAAAGAAGGATACGAAATCTCGGTGCCACAAAGCAAGCCACTTAGTCCCGGAGAAGTACAATACATTCTTTAATATGTTTAAATATTAATACAATACAATAGATAAATAGACAACGACTTTTAAAGATTTTAGGATGTACAGCACCACAAGTTCGTTGTGCTGACGCAGTGATGTACATAGGGGACGGTCGCTTTCATTTAGAAGCTGTTATGATTGCTAACCCTAAGCTGAGAGCGTTCAAGTATGATCCATATGCGAAGAAATTAACCGAAGAGTTTTATGATCATGAAAGAATGTTGAAGACCAGGCACGAGGCGATACAACGTGCTATCGAATCCGACAAATATGCTTTAGTGCTTAGCACTCTAGGCAGACAGGGCAGTCCTCGTGTATTGAAAACTCTGCAAAATAGAATTGAGGCTTTAGGAAAGGAAAACGTCGTGATATTACTATCGGAAATATTCCCGGAAAAAATCAAGATGTTCAAAGATATTGATGCTTTCATACAAGTACGATCTCTCATGAGACTTAAACATCAGTTTTCAAAAATTTACTCGTCTTTCTCTTCTTTTTACTAGTATTTTTATTAGTAATTTAATTTATTTTATATTGTATTTAATTTATGAAAAATTATAGGAAAATATATATTTGGAGGAAATAGATAACTTCTCAAAAAAAGTTAGAAGAAAATATTTGATCGAGTTAATATATAGTTCAAAAAATTTAGGTATTATGTTAAACCAGGCCTATCCAATTGAGCTCCAGAGTCAAAATGCAAAGCCATCGACGCAAAAAAATTCAATAAGATTTCGGGGTTTGTAAAGTGTTGCTACACATTTGAGTGAGTTTATCATTACTTTACAGTTTCTGAAATTTTACATTGAATTTTTTTGCATCGATGACTGCGTTTTGGCTCCGGAGCTCAAATTGGACAGGCTTGTGTTAAACTATATCAATAAATTTTATTCAAGATTGCGTGTCCACGATTGAGCATTGACTGGGGTGTCGCGTTTGAGAAACCATTTCTCACACCCTACGAAGGCGCTGTCGCTCTTAGAATGGCAGAGTTCGACAAGGATCGACCTTATCCCATGGATTTCTACGCTACGATCAGCCTTGGACCGTGGACCGCTAATCACAAGGAATCTGAATTGGAAAAAACCGATGCCTGTTGTGGTAAATGTAAAATGGATAAATAAAGGAGTCGTAAATATGCAATTCAAATTTGTTATGAAATTGTCAACCTGTTAAATTAAATGTAAATATTTCTCCTTATCCTATCACACATGATTGCTCAATTTGCCTTTTAATAAATTGCTCAGTTTATTTTTTTAATAAGTTTTTCATTAGATGTTGATATAAATTCGAGCAGGTGCCTTCGAAGTCTGTCTATATTAAACCCCCGTCATCCCTAAGTTGTTGCTAGCGGAGCGATAATGGGTAGATAGGAGGGTCCGCGTGGGCGAATTACGTCATACGCCCACCTGTAGCCCTCTCACACATAGACACTGGAATATCGTATATAAAGGGTGTGCAAAGCGCGACGTAACACTTGTTCGTATTCGTTTTTTTCCACTTGCTTCTTATTATTTGAAAACAAACGTTAAATGTAAATTGAACATATTTAGTTGGAATATTGATTATTCCAATTTGTTTACAGAACACCTCGACAAGATCGTGTAAATTTGTATGGAAAAAATAGATGTGAAATATCTAAGTTATAATTAATTTATACAAATCAAAGCATTCTCAATTGGAAGTATTTCTTTAAATATCGAAATATTTGTTACTTTATATTAGAGAATATAGTGTACGAGGAGAAAACAATGAACATATGATACATCGAATACATGATGAGATTACTGATGTAGATAAAAGAAAAGAGCACAGAGTACATGATAAAATATCGGGGGTGGAAGGCGGCACCGGCCGCACCCCGGCGTCGCAACGTCAGTCGTTGTTCCAGCGTGGCTCAACAAGTACACGCGGTGCTTAGTCCACGGTTTGAAATTTTGGAAAATCTATGACATTACTTGTCATACAGTTATTCGATGTTAAAATGTATTAAATCAATGAAACATACAGCACGAATTGTGAAAATAAGATTATAGGTCATTAAACATTTAACATCGATCAGTCAACGATCTGACCATCAGTATTGGTAAGAAGTAAATCACAGAAAATGTCAAGCATCAATTCTATATCTTCAATTTGTTAATATATTTTTATCCTAATTCTCTTTGCTTACAATTTGAGACAAATAAAAAAGTATATAGACATATATAGATATAGAAAGATGTGTCCTTGGCGGAAAAATATGTTTACGAAAAAGTAGCCATACTGAAAAAAATCACGTCACAAAGTCGCACAACGAAATCATGCAATTAAGACAAGTAAATAAAATAATAGATTATTCCAAATCAGTATATAATTTTTTAATACGTGATTTTTTTCAGTAGGGACAGAAAAACTGCGTAGATTGAGACAAGATCTTAGAGATTTAAAAAATTTTTCATAGATATTTGTAGCGAAATGTAGAGTGTGCATGAGATTTGTTTGAGGAGGACGAAGGTTTCTTGGTTTAAAAAAAAACAACGCCACTCTACATCCCACTACGAATAATATCTATGAAAAACTAAGAATTTCTAAAATCTTGTTTCAATCTATGTTATACTTTTTCGTAAAAACTTTTCCTCCAGGGTTTAAAGATGAGAAGAGGAATATTTTAAAATCGTAACCGATAAAATTTAATTATTGCTTCATTAAAAGGAAGGAATATACTATGCGGTCTAAAGTGACAAACGAGAATACTTGGGCTACAGAATCGAAACAGAGAAGTAAGAACCTGCGACGAACGACGAGAAAAACGGAGTCTTCGGGATTGTCAAAACCTACCAAGGGAAATACAGCATGGGAGAGAACTCTCAGGAGGCTGGAAAGCAATGAACGCGAGCGTATGCGGATGCACTGTATGAACGATGCGTTCCAGGTACATATAAGTTACTGTTATACATTATATCTAAAATATAAAAACTAATAGAATATTACATATTACATATAATAAACAAACATTTGTTTCTGATATTTAAAAACAAAATCTTTTTCTAATCATATATACAATATGCAATGTTTTCATTTTGTAAGATATTTTAATGAATTTGTTTTTATAGTCCTTACGCGAAGTGATCCCGCATGTTACCAAAGAGAAGCGGCTCTCAAAAATGGAGACATTGACGCTGGCTAAAAATTATATAGTGGCCCTTACGGACGTAATCTGCGCTATGAGAAGCGAGGAGCGATCAGAGGATCAGCAAAGCAGCAGCTCTGAACGTCAAGATTCGTCAAACAACGAACAGCGATTGGAATCGACTACTGTTTGCGTAAACATTCCTGTTGCCTCCAGATCCTGCGGTTCGGAGACTCAAAATTTTTATCAAAACAAACATTCGCGGTGGGAGAAAGACCAAGATAATATTACAGGCCTCTGAAAAGTTACGGCGCTAAACGATATTAGGATGAAGGACGAATTGAGATTTCTTCAATGGCATTTCGACTGGTCTTCCTTTCTTTAATCGTGGATATATTTACGCCTTAAAAAACTCCAACATCCGTATACACACACATTTGTGCAAGTCTTATTAAAATTAACAATGTATCTTATGACTGATATAAGTAAATCTAAGAAAATACTAACTGTTTGTGCCAAAGAAAGATAGTATTCATCGCAGAAACGAAAATATAATAGAGAATATTATATTATAGATATTGATAGTAAATTATAGTATTTTATTTCATATAGAACATTATATTATATTAGTTTTCGATAATAAATAATGTAAAGAAGTAATTATTTAAAGAAATGTTATATATTAATGTATCAACGTTCGTATATGTGATTAAGAGATTTAAAAAATTGCATAAATTTTCATATGTTTTTGCAAATAACAAATGGGTTACAAAACTATAAAATCTTATTACTTATTTGTGTTACAAATCACTTTGCAAGAAGTTTATATACTTTTTTATATTTTTATCCTTTATTATAAGTTTATGTGATATATATTACTAAGGTATACACAATGACAAATGGGCTAATTGTAATAAATAATTATATATTTATTATACATATAAAGTATATGTGTTATAATATATAAATTCAGATGAATAAATTAAATTATATATTTGAGAAACTTTGGATTCAAGTTTTATATTAATAATCTTCTATACTCCTTATATGGAGATACAACATTGTGTTTTTCAATATTTCATTGCAATGATACAATTATGTAATAAACAATTATTTTATCTTTTATAATCAGGCCTGTCCAAAACTCGGCTCGTGAGCTGAAATACTTCCATCTCTCCGTCGTCTCGATAGAACAAGGCAGAGCACAAATAACAATGGAAAGATAGACGCCAGAATATTTTATATATTATAATTACAAATTACATCAGCCTATCACCGAATGAAATAGGCTGTGTCGTCAAATCTTGTAAATTGACTAGCACCGCTGTTTTTGTTTCCGAAAATTTCGGAATACATATCAATCGTACCGCATGCCCTTCGTCAGCTATACATGATATACATGAATTATTTTGTCATGAACAAAAATTGATAAATCAGATAAAAAGAATTCCTACCTGTAACTAATTTTGTATTGTATTCATCCATGTTTCCAGCGAAATATATATCTGGCCATTCGTTGATAACGAATGGATCATTTTTGAAGAACGGATAAATCGGAAGCGTGTCGGGACCGGTTGGAGCGTAATGCCTCCAGATCAATGTACGCTCCAGCCATTCCAACGGAGACAGCTGAGATAATCCAGCGATTTTCATAATATCCATGATTGGTCCGCCGCAAGAACCAACTACGACACGGCCCCCAATATTAGCGATCCAAGGATTAGTCGCACCATGCATGCTTTTAAACCTGTATTACATCTGAATTGTTATATGTAAAGAAAGTTCGACGCAAAGCTTAAATGTATCGCTGTTACCTGACCGATTTCTGCAAAGTACATGGATGAAAAGGCTGCTGAGGCATGCTATAATTGCAAGTGGGATCAAACTCTCCCGGCATCAAGACAACGCAACAGCAATTGAGAATATTGCTGAGAAAAGCATCAAGCTTATGCATTGCCATTACATCTTCTTTGATCTTAAGCTGATCGTGCGATTTGATTTCATGATAGCCTTTATGGCTGTATATTTTCGTAGAACTACGAATGGAGTTTCCTAAGCGATTATTTTTATACATGAATTACCATCGCTAATCAGAAAATATGGACGATTCGGTATTCGTACCAGCGATAATGACTTTAGCAATTGCAGCTTCTTCTTTTTGAGCATTGGCACATCCCGCCATTCCGGTTATCCATTCTGAAAGTAAATCTAAGCTGAACTCGTCCGTGTTATTAACTAGATCTAATCCAGATATTAGCAGAATTTTTCCATCTTCCACCAATGAGCTGCTCACGCTAGAAGACTTCGGGTAGTATCCTGGAAAACACCAATCCTCTACCTAAGAGCAAAGTTCAATATGAGCAAGTTGGAATCCTGCCAAGGTTGGCAAGTAACGCGTTACTTGTAACGCCGTTACTTTGTTGATCGTTACCTTGTTATAATAACAATTTGATAATGACAAATGTGAATTTTTTATGATGGTAATGCTAACATCAGAGTTAGAAAAGTCAATCGTTACTTGTAATGGATTGAAAAAGTCATTCGTTACTGAAAAAAATAATTCCTAATTTGTAACGCGTTACTTTTTAGTAACGAGTAACGTTACTCGTTATACTTATAATTTTTTCGGTGTAACGCATAATAGTGACAAGTTACTTTTTAAAGTGACTTTTCTAACTTTAGTACAACCTTAGCGTTTAGTTAGTTAGCGTTATCGTCATAAAAAATTGCAACATTGTCATCAAATTGTTTACTATAAAAAGTAACGACAAAGTAACTGAAAAGTAACGTTTGTCAACCCTGAATCCTGCCTATAGCCATAATTACGTAAATATATACCCAAAATGTTCCATTTTCTAATTCATGTCCGAGTATCGCACAGACGAGCCCAGTGACTACTTCTTGTATATCCATGTGATTTCCTACTAATTTTACACGTAACGTTTCATCCTCCAAAAATAATTGGTCGTCAACTGATGCATAATTATTATTCGGTTGAGCTTCCAGCTGAAGCTCCTTGCTGAGGTCGCGTAGAAGGGAAGGTTTCAGCCTCTGATCTTTATAAAGTACTCCTATCAGAATATAAGACTTTCCTAAGGTTTCCAGGGTCAGGCGTGAAACTTCTACATGTTGATAGTCGGCTACAACATACGTAAACTGTAAATAACGTATGTAGAAAGATTCTGAGTGTATAAACGTGGCTTACTCCATTTCAGTTTCGCTCTGCGTAATGTGTCTTCCCGCAAATCATTCAGCCTCGCTGTATATATATTGAGAGAATCATCGTTGTATCTTCTCTCTGTTAATTTAAATCTGCCGAGGTCTTTGAAAGAGACAATTTTCCGGTCGTATTCGCTGGAATCGTCGATCTCCATTCCAACTTCAACTCGTTTCTGAAAATTTTCAAAGTCACGTTCGTACAATAAAACGGACAACGTAGAGACAATTATAAAAAAAAAGAATGTTTAGAGGAGCATACTATTATCTTTCATTGTTTTCCAAGTGTAAAAAAGCACCCGTGTTTTAAAAGAAACATATGATCACGTTGTCATTATGCGCTACGAAGTGTAGGAAGTGTCATCCCATCCAACCTTATCCATATAAAATAAGGAACCTCAAGGAGGAATACTTCTTATATTCAAAAAAAATGTCGGAATTTTAATTTGCAAAAATAAGGTGAGAAATTCGCGAGCGTGGCGACAACAATATTTAACATCTTTGGTAGAAATTTTTTTCAGGATTTTTATACAAACTGGAATAATTCTCAGAAATACTAGGAAAGTCTACGACTTTTCTTAGAATTTTTCGTGTACGTACAAGGAAAAGCGTCTGGCAAAATTCGTTGTGCCCTGCGTCATTGGAGCAGCATCTGCACCTTGCACTCCGAAGCACTCGTTCGTGTACCATCGTGCATCATCGTGCACCATCTGGTTGGTGTCAGGTGAAGGTGGTTCACAGCGACGAGGCGGTCTCGGTCTTCTGCACTGGACTCGACGTGGCGAAAAAACGTCTTCTGTTTTCACTCATCTCTTCCCCATTGTTAGGAAATGATACCAAACTGTCTCAGGAACGTCGCCGTGCAGTCGTCGAGACGAAATGTAAGTGCACCGAAGCGTGACCTCTAAACACGCGTCGTGTTTTCCGTGTCAGGGTCTCGTTACGAATCCCAGACACTCTTACTTGCGACACCGTATTTCATGAGTCTTCTTCTTTCCTCAATATCCCGCATATTCGCCAGTTTGGAAGCTGGAACGAGGTAATTATCACTCTCGCGATTCGGTTGTGCGGTTTGCTGCCGCCTTATGTTTGCTTTGAACTTGTGTTTGATGTTAACACAAAAGCGCAGAACTTTGAGTTTCTAAGGACACACAACCACTGAGTCACAAGATAATGTAAATCTCACGCTGTCGCACGTGCTACAATTATACTTATAGTATGTTTTTACGTCGCTACGGACACTGATTAGATGCTGGTGTTTCTAGGTGGCTTCGTTTTTCTTGAGTAAGAAAAATAATTATGCCACTGAAGCCTCCTTCGAGACCAAACCTTTTCGATTGCACAAATTGGACCATGGCCCATCTACCCAGGTTACAGTGACTCGGGATGATGCTATTGAACTATTTAAACAGCTACATACGATACGTCGTATGGAAACGGCTGCTGGCAACTTGTACAAAGAGAAGATCATTCGGGGTTTCTGTCATTTGTATTCTGGACAAGTAAAGACCATTTGCATCTTTTTGAAATATTTATTTGATTTAGAAATACTTTAATTTCCCTGGTGAACATTTTTCTCATAATTTTTATAGGAATTGGAACATTTTTCAGAAATACTCAGAAATATTCGGAAAGTTTACAGCTTTTCTCAGAATTTTTCATACAAGTGAATTCTTTAAGTGAAATATTCTGAAATTTCTCATCCCATTTTTAATTCATTAATTTTTAAAAATATTTTTAATGTTTTAGATTTTATAACATTTCATCAGAAATTATACTTACAAAAAATCTTAGAAATATATTTTCTTAAGATATTTTATAAGTAACATATATGAAAAATTCTGAGAAAAGATGTAGATTTTCTGAGAAGTGTTCCAATTCGTATAAAAAAATGTGAGAAAGTTATAAAATTATAAAAATTCTGAAAAATTATATGAAAAATTCTGAGAAAAATTTTCACCAGGGTTTTGTTGTTTTTCCTTTGCAGGAAGCTTGTGCAGTCGGCATGAAAGCTTCAATGAGACCCCAGGATGCTGTAATTACAGCTTATCGCGCACATGGATGGACTTATTTAATGGGCATCAATGTATTCGGTGTTTTTGCGGAACTCACAGGCAGACAAGGTGGCAATGCCAAAGGCAAGGGTGGCTCCATGCACATGTACTCTAAGAACTTTTATGGAGGAAACGGCATTGTTGGCGCTCAGGTTTGCATTAGTCTTAAAAATTTAATTTAATATCGCTAATATTCCAACTTTTAAAAATATTTTAACATTATATCACAATTAGGTGCCACTGGGAGTTGGAATCGCTTTTGCACAAAAATACTTGAATAACGGTGGAGTCTGTTTAGCGTTGTACGGCGACGGCGCGGCCAATCAGGGTCAGGTGTTCGAGGTATATAATATGGCTAAACTGTGGGATGTACCTTGTATCTTCGTTTGCGAGAATAATGGATACGGAATGGGTACTAGCGCGGATCGTGCCGCGGCAAACACAGAGTATTATACCAGAGGCGATTATATTCCTGGAATATGGGTACGCTAATCTGTTTTAAAAGATGCGTATTTTATTAAGATAAATAGATTCATGATAAAAATCATATTATAGGTGGATGGAATGGATGTATTAGCCGTGAGAGAAGCCACGAAATTTGCAATTGATCACTGCACGTCAGGTAAGGGCCCTCTTATCATGGAAACTGTGACGTACAGGTATAGCGGGCACAGTATGTCGGATCCTGGAACCAGCTATCGTACGCGAGAAGAGGTGCAAGAGGTCCGACAGACCCGGGATCCTCTGACCAGCTTTAAAGAGAGAATTTTGAATTCCAATCTTGCTACTGCGGACGAAATCAAAGTTAGTCGATGTCTCTTTTGTTAGATTTCGTGATTAATGTTATCTATTAGTAATTTATTTCATTGTTATCCGATGATGATCTATATAGATAAGCAATCTTTTTCTGTCCCAGGCAATAGAAGGTGAGATTAGGAAATCTGTAGATGACGCCATGAAAGCTGCCAAGAACGACAAGGAGATTCCACTCAACGAGCTCACTGCCGACATTTACACGGAATGTTTAGAGAAGGAGATTCGAAACACGTCACCTTTCAATTCTCTATCGCACACCAGACTAGGGCCAGCTGTAAATGCTTAAAACTGCTCAAAGATTATTTCCTAATTACAGTCTCGTGCCACGTCCTCACTGTTCATAGACTTATAAACTAGTTATATAGAAGTGTACATGCACACGATTTTTTAAATTTGAGGCTGTATATTGTTTCGTCAAAAGAGAACTGATATATTGTCGAAACAAATTAATTCGAGTGCAATTATTGCGTACAGATAATGCTCTAATACGCATGCGTAGCATTGTACGTTGCAGTCAAACACGATTCACGTGTCAAAAAGAAGATCCATATTTTTAATAATTTGGAGAATTAAATTTATTTACAACCTCGTTTATTTCCAATATGAAAATTACGAAGAGGATCTTTTACGATACAACGTGCGCCTAAGATCTGAGCCATTTGTTATGTGTTAAAATAAAAATAAATCTAAAAAAAAATAAAAATTTGTTATAAAAATAAAAAATGATTCGTTTGTCAAAAAGATGAGAATAAATTTTGAATAACAGAATTCGATACAAGTATCGTTCTGTCTTTGTTATTGTCACTGGATGTTCAAAAAGATACAATAAGATGGTTCTGTCGATTTGTGTTTTTGTCGAGTGACCTACACAGCACACTTTATTTGAGAGATATTCTAGGAACGTATTCTTAGGAATTCAAAGGATATAAGGACATGCCTTGGACTATGTTAAAATTCTTTTAAAAGTCTTTGTTGTGTTTATCGAATATTAAACGAGGTCTGTTCCTTTTAGCTAAAGTTCTTGCACGGTTCATCTTTCTTCCTTTTCTTTCCATGTTGGAGAGAAAAAAAAAGACGAACCATGCAAGAAGTTTAGCTAAAAACGGTGGAGTTTATTATTGATATTTTTGAAATAACGCTATATTTAAAAATATTTTTGCTCCATTTTAGAGCACTAAATTAACATTAAAATCCCTGTGTACTTATTTTTTCTATACGTGCTCTGTATATATTTTTTCTATCATGGGGGGGGGTCCAGCTCGCCGTAAAGCTGGACTCCCCTTTTTTTGCTGCTAAATGGTTTGAGTACTAAAATTCGTAACAGAGTACTAAATTAGCACTTAAAAAGCACTAAATTTTTTATCTATTCCAAACTTGATTTTCATCTTTTTCTAGTAATAAGAATTAGAAAAAGGTAAAGAGTAAGTTAAACTGAGATTAAAATTAATCTATATTGGTAGAAACAAATTGTGCTGCTGGGTAAGATAATTTTGAATAGCGATTAATCGAGAAATCTCGGGAGATATCGAGGGGTCGAGAAAGAAAGAAGCATCGAACGTGTCGATCAGACGATATCGAACGTCGGCCATGTCTCTCTAGTGGCGAACAGGTACAGGTGTACGGTTAACCAACGTTGCGCGTACGATTTTTGTTGAAGGTCAGTTTATTCCGCGAAAAAAAAATGGCCCGAATCGTCGCAGTAAAAGAATACCTTGAGAAAGCGTTGAAGGATGAGAGCAAACCGTGGACAAAGATGTTCGCTCTCGCGGAAGAGAAGACCGGCATCGATCGGCTGTACATTTTTGTCGGTGAGTCGCTCGATGGTATAATTACGCAGATTTCTAGTCATTTCTATTGATTGGCGGGCTCGGGCACGGTTAGATAATTATACTGCCTCACGTTAATGCGATTTCGCACTTTCGTAGAACTTGTTATCACGCACTCGTTACGCAATAACTAGTTATACAGGTCTTTTCCTTTTCATGCTAAGCTGTTTTTTCTTTGGTAAATATATTTCGAAATCTTTGCCGAAAATCTGCAACCTGTTGATCTTTGCTCCGGTCATCGCACAATCGCTTTCAGAAACTCCTTATTTTCCGCTTGTTTGCATTAACATTTTTGCAAACGGCAGTAGTTGAATTTAAAATAGGAGTACTTTAGGAAGATTAAGTTATTATTATTACTATTTTTATTATTTATTTTTTGATAGGATCATTGATATTCCTGGCTATATACCTGGTATTTGGATTAGGACAACAACTAGTATGTAATATAGTCGGTTTTGTTTACCCTGCATACCAATCTATGAAAGCATTGGAAACTTCTAAGAAAGAGGATGACACAAAATGGCTCACTTATTGGGTGGTTTTTGCTGTATTTACTATAATAGAATTCTTTTCCGAGTATATTGTCTGCTGGTTTCCAGTCTATTGGCTGTTTAAGGTATAATCCTGAAGGCATTAATCTTAAAGACAAATCCTTACCAAGAGTAAATATTATTAATTATGAATTTGTACACAGTGTATATTCTATATATGGTTGATGGCACCAATTGCCGAGTATAATGGTTCCTTGATTCTATATCGTCGTATCATCCGTCCAAAGTTCATTCAGTACCAACCTGGATTCGACAGATTTTTGTCTAATGCACGTGACACAGGTAAGACCATTTTTTAAATTAAAAATAATTCTATTAAAAATAATTTTATTAAGAATATGGATATCAGTGGAAATTTATTTGCGACATAAATCAAAACATAAATATAAGGATATATTATTTTTGTAGCAGTTAAGACTGCGACGGAAGCATTGCTGACCAACAAGCAAGAATAATGAAGCTGTCAAATCAAACAGATAGAAAGTCCATTTGTGTCTTTCCCTTTTTACTCATTCCTAGCAGAGAGAGCGTGAATTTTGTGCTTTATCGAATATTACCGAGCGTTGTTACATTAACGACTACAAAGATGAAGAAAATGCCAAACAAATAGAAATTTTTATTATCCTAGATGCTATTTTCAAATGGATCAGGGAAAACCAAAGTTATCCAAAATTGTGAATAGATAGTGAATATGAAGGATGCACGAATGAAAAAAGCCTCCCTCTGAAAATAAATCATTTACAATACAATAGTCTGCTTTCAGAATTGCGAAATGATTAAAAAAAGTTTCAGCATGGAAATAACCGTTTTATTTTCAGATAAGCTCGGCTTATCATTTATAGAGAGTCCGAGCCAGCTGAAAACAAAACTTGGAGTGTTTTTGTATAAATAGGATAGACTGATCGTGTGTTTTTGCCATTCCCATAATCTTTGATGGTATACTTGTGTTAAAATACTTTAATTTTAGAGGAAAGTTTCACCAACATTAAAGTCGTTCATTCATTCATTCATTTACTAACGCTGGTACGGCATTCCCGGTTCCGAACGGCAATTTGAGAGGTTTTCTTAGCAATAGATGGCACACTCTTGGTGGTTTGCCAGATCGCCGAAGAGGAGCTACGTGCGCGTGAAAATTTCTTGGATCTGCCGAGGATTGAACTTAAACTGAGTGGTATAGCATGGTAGACTCGCTCACTGTCCATGCTACGATCGTACTCAACAATCGTGTAATTTAATTTAGTCTTTTTTTTCCAAAATAACTATTTTTTTCAAGTAACGTTGATTGTATATTAATATTTCGATTTTTTTATCTTAAAATATTTAGAATATTAAAACGTCTGAAATAGATAAGAATCGATGTTGGTGAAACCGGCTTTTAGTAGATATGTTTTAATAGGTAAGTTGGTTAGGCATTGTTGATAAGAAGCTGATAAGATTGATTTAAATATATAAAAATAGCAAAGACTCAAGATAATTGGAAACAATATATGATATATTCAAATACGTAAAGATATACGTTGATAAATCTAATTTAATTAAAAATTTAAATTTTTGATGACAAGTATTGTCATTCAATTGTTATATCGTGATGTAAGGCGAGACTCTTGAAACAAATCAGGTATTATGCCTTCTAGTTAGTTCACAAGTCGTCAATGAAATGACACGCACAATTAGCTTAAAATTTGTATATTATATATGTGAGATTGTATCGTAACTTGCATGCGATTGTCTTATGTTTATAATATATTCTACCAACATCTTTAAGTAGACACTTCGATTTTGAAGTACAGAGACAAGCTTAGGAGATGTGTATATTGCTCAAATTAAGCCACCGTCTTGTACAACTCGATAACCATTTCTCCGATCAAGTCGGCGTTCCATTTGTGGATTCTATGAAAATCTAATTTTTCTATATCTTTTTTCCCTCACTCTTAAAATTATTTATATGAATACATATTATATGAATCATATATGAATGTTACTATAATTGTTGCCGAGAGATGAATATTACGGGTTTTAAACAAAATTGTAAATTTAGAGGTATTGACAAAAATTATAAGTCACTATACACGCACCGCAAAATAAATGTTTTTATTTTATACACTTCCTTTTCTTTCTCCCTTTTTTTATCTTTCGCTGATAACTGAAGTCATTCACGAACGAAAATCAATTTCCTGTAACGCGTTCCTGTGGACAATCCAATGATTACATACAGTATTAATTAAATAGTAAAAGGAAAATTAATTAATTCTGAAGAGCACAAATGTGTATATACATATACAAAATATACCCCAGGTAGAACACCTGTTCTCCTGGAGTCATAATTAAATCATAATGGTAACACAGAACGTCATCATAACGTCATCTGATACCTAAAAATTGACTTATAAGTGACAAATGAGGTCGTGATGTCCTCATGATTTCTGTGTTCTACTTGGGACAGGGTGTTGGAAATTCAACCGACAATGCTCGTGGGCAGGTAGAGTGGACTAAATTGAGTCGAAAAGTCCTGTACCATTTTGCAATTTTCGCAATGGTTAACAAGATATTATTTACTAAAAATCGCTGAATATTGGTTTTCAATAATTTTTTACTCAAATACTATAATTAATATCTTGGACTCGATTCAGTTTACCTGCTTACGAGCGTTGTCGGTTGAATCTTCGAACACCCTGTATATATGAGCGCACAATATTACAAGTTTCCATAAATAAATTATGAAATGAATATGCATTTTAGAAATATTGTGCAAATAAAATTAAAAATTATTTGCCGATAAAGAATAAATTATTAATGTCCTTGTCCGATGAATTTTAAACATCGAACTGTTAATCATTACTTCATTCCATTGCGTACTTTGATTATCATTATACCAGGAAATATGACGTAGTCAAAGCGATTTAGACGGACTTCAGTACCGTATATTGAAAAGGATCCGAAGCGTAGATCGAAACGTATGTACATTTAATAATATAATAATTTCACACGTATAATCAATGGCTGGCTCAATAAGGCATACGTTTCCATTGATTTACATCAACTGAGCCTTACGTACCATAGCTTTTATATTATAATAATAAAAGATAAAAAGAGCTAAGAGCCAGAATCATATCTTCCAGAGCCAGAATCAATACTACAGCTATTGGCCTCCACCTAACGTTCCTCTTTCCTTTCCATTTCCTCAGAGATTCCTTGTCTTCTCAATTCTTTATTCCCATAGTTCTGTTTGCTGTGTCATCAATCTTTGTACGTTTATAAAATAATCCTTTCAATTTGAAGAATTCGTGACACCTTTGCGTTATTATATCTTTCAAATGCAAATCAATTACAATGGACATATTAATAGAAGTAAGAAATCTCAATTCACAGGTACAAAAATGCTTAAATATTAATTACATATCTATATTGTTCTTGATTTACTCTCACACTGGATAATTTTAAAATTAGATCGATTTATTGGAAATGTATATCAGTTCGAGAATCATTATATCATAATTGATATCCATTGAAATAATTTGATTAATGAAGAAATGACAGCGACTTATGAAAATTGTATTCATCATAAATTTAGAAGAACTTTAATTTGTAATATTCAAGTCTATTTTAATATTTGACTTATTATGTAAGGTAGGATTCGTTTTTATGTATTAACATTGAAAAGGTCCTAGTTTAAGAAAGCGTTTGTTAAAAAAATCAAGAACTAGCGTTGGCTCTTGGCTCTTTTTACCTTTTATTATTGTTTTACTTGCCGATATTACAAGTAAAAGAATAAATTGATCGATTTGTGCTCTTTAGAATTCAAATTCATGAAAAGTGCGAGAGAATTACATTTCTTTGAAGTGGAATTTCTCAGCTGTCAACGCGAGCTTTCTTATGTGACGAATAGTGGATGCAGCTGCAATCTGTACCTCTGGATCGTCCGAGCCCACCAAGCGCAATACATACTGTTTAAAATTTTCATCGATAGTTTTCAATATTCAATCAGAGTTTCAGTAATTCGTTTTTTTCGGTATATAGAGGAAGTAATCAATTAAATTGAGTTAAAAGTAACTTTAAATGTATATCTGGAACTTTTATTTTTTTATATTGAACATTCTATTTACGAAAATATCTCTGCCAATTCATAGATTATTTACATATTACAACGTTAGTGGCTATAAATTAATATATTTACTGAAAAAAAATATTCATTTTCTAAGATCTTTAATAAATTATATCTCTGGTTCTCAAAATTAAACAATATACATATAATAAAGGCACATAAGAGTAAAACGCAGTAATTGTATTCAATATTGTATATTATTCTTTATTAATAAATATAAAATTCGAACGTTTCGACTCTTTTTTGAGTCTTCATCAGCGAGATGCGTTCATATAATTGATGAGATGAAGGCACATCAATTATGTGAACGCATCTCGCTGATGAAGACTCAAAAAACAGTCGAAACGTTCAAATTTTATATTTATTAGTAGAGATGTAAACGACGGAAAAATCCTAGAATTTTAGAAAAAACTCAGGAAATAATGTTTTTTTTCCTTCAGTTTTGACAATTTTTTACTTGGATTTTTTTTAGCATTTCACAATTTCGACGCCGTACTATTGCTCCAGAATTTAATTTTTGCACTTATCCGTAAGATTTCTGTGTAAAAATAGTTACAAAAGTTAAAATATCGTATAATGATTAATATATAGTAAATGCCGGTGGCCATAAATATAACTTACCTTTCATTACTATTTGAATAATGTTTTATACTGTACTTCTCTCTCTCTCTCTCTCTCTCTCTCTCTCTCTCTCTCTCAATTTTGAGAGGTAAGTAAGTGTTCCATACTGTTACTAATACAAATAATACTTTACTAGACTAATTGACACTGGTTTTGTTGTATACTGTGATTGTGATTATACATACTCTAAATTTAAATTAGTGAGATAACGTTCATTGAATCTCTAATTATTCTTGAATCAATATTATATTGGGATGTTGTCTCAAAATAATTAAAACATAGAATATAAAATAATTAAAATATACAATACAATTATAACCAATATGCAACAAAATAATGTCTATTATATATATATGTATATATGCTTATAAAGTATTATCTGTATTAATAACATCACTTATTTAGCTTTTAAATATAAAATATTTGTCGTTCAAATAATTATATTGAAATAACTATATATTTTTTCACGAATTTTATGTAATTTGATAAAAAATACCGTTATTTACAATAAAAAAACTAGTTTTGTACTTGATACTTTTCTCCGAAGTAAAAAATACCGTTTTTTTTACATCTCTATTTATTAGTAAGGCGAATAATATACAATATTGAATACGCTCCAATTATCGCGTTTTACTCTCATATGCCTTTATTATTATTGTACAATATAAGATCTTTAATTTCAAGATTTGATTTCGTAAAGTTATGAAACAATTGTTCTTTAACATCGAGCAATTGTCACGTATGCAAACTCCTATGACCTAATTATACCTTGATAACGCCGCAAGTGTGCATTGTCACGCAATTTAACGGCTCCTTGCTCAAATGGTACACAGCAATGCAAACACCCTTCAACACGTTCTTGTTCTTGCTGGTCATGTAATTAACGAGCGGCGCGACAGCATTTAATTTGCCAAATTCGTAACTGTTCCGATCCCAATCGCAGCAATAGGCTATCGCCAACGTCAGATTAGCACGCAAATTCTCGTCGTCCTTTAAAAAAATAATCATCCTATTATTAAGCGCAGATA